TTGTTATAAATAAGTACCCAATTACTTTCATAAATTTCTTGTGGCCTTAATTGATGCCGCTTATCAAATCTAGCTTTGTTTTTTAAGCGTGCTTCTTTCAACTTTACAATTGCTTTTTCTATGTCCTTAAGTCTCTTCTCTAACTGACAAATTTGAAATACAAGAAGTTCTTCTTTAGACATATTGTCTTGCTAAGGTAAAAAACTCCAAGTAGATATTTATTATTCAATTGGCATAATAGGCTTTTGTCATTGTATCAATTTTGCTGACATATATCTAGCCACTGAACTATTAGTAGTATGGACAACTTATAGAGCAAATGATAATATTCTTGGCCATTCTTTTGTTTTTTCTTTGTAGGCTTTAACAATGGCTTTTACTATTGGAGGATGATCTCGTTTACTTTCAGCATTACTTTTGAGATTATATGCTATTGTAAGTGTAAGATTGATTCCACATCTTTTAAAAAATTCTCTTTCTTTATGTGCATCCAACTCTCCACGATCAGCAATAATCTTTCCAATATATTCGTATCTACTAACCACATCTTTTAAAAAAAATCTACAAACTCTTTTAGTGGATTTTGTATGTACTGCTCTACCTTCTATTTGATTAAATAAATCTTCTCATGCCAAAATAAAGTACCACATTTGCCATAATTCCATAGGCATAGTAACTAGATCCATAACCTGCTTATAATATATTATAAGAGGATATGTGGGAAGCAACTCATCTCTATGTCAAATTTCCAAATATATTTGACAAGTTTGGTATGATTCTACAAACTTTATCACATCTCTATACATATTATGCCACCAATATCTTTCTTTAAGCTTATTAAAAGTGGCATAAATATCTCTATGAGCCATCTACAAACTATCATGAAATTCCTAAATCAATTGTCTTTGCATTTCTTTCTTATAAATTATTCTTTATGGTATATCTTAATTCCTTTTGTACTATTTTCATAAATAACCACTTTGTAAAAAATAATTATAAGCTTTCTATCTATTTTTTTAAAAAATAAATATTATTCCACCCTAATTGTCTTGATAATATATTCAAGTAGTGCCTAATATCTATCCATTTTTCTTTGTATAATTCTTCCATAAATTATTTTGGATATCGATTCTCTACTTGATGTACTCTAGAATAGAAGGTAGTATCTATATCTTCGGTATCATCAATTAAATCTTCTTCTTGTTCATATCAAGCCTGAGATAGCATATCTACCATTAGATTATTTTTGCCTATTATGTGCTTGAATTCAAGATTCAAGAATTTAATGTATGCAATCCTTCTTAGCATGGCAATATCAAGGATGTTACAATTGGTGATTATTTCCAATAAAGACAAATAATTTTTTTCCACTATTACTAGTGCTCTAATTAAATAATCTTTTTCAATCTTCATAGGTGTAATTGTTCCTTACAACTCTTGTATTACTTGTAGATAGTTTTTCTATCTTTTACTTAATACTTTGGCTCCAAACCTTATAACAAACCTATTTTCTTCCTCATGATCTTGTCCTAAAGTCCAACCAATAGCTATAGGACTTATATCTAGGGCTCACCTACCTAAGCTACATAAGTCCTAGGTATCGGAGTTGGATCAATTGTTAGAGAATTTGCAGAGGAATTTTACTCCTCTTCAAGCCATGACAAAATCTTATCACAGTCTAGAATATGATTAGATATAAATTTATAGCATTGCCTTTGATCCATTGCTTGATTTTTTTTTTTTTTTTTTTTTTTTTTATATACCTTTTTATTGGACTATCATCTAAAAAAGGTATAATTTTTCTAGAATAAAATCTTGAAGAACCTTATTCATCTCATTTATTATTAGAGCAACTGAGTTTGTTATATCCTGTGATAATGTGCACATCTTTACCAATCCTAAAGGTGTCCTTATAGTAGTGATATCTCTACTTCCTTAAACTAGTTGGAATTGATTACATCCAAAATAAAGATCTCCAATAAAATAATTGGTTCTATCAGCAAATGCCTCTGTAAATTTTCAAAGAATTGATCATTTGATTCATTAGTTACATATCATGAATAAATTATAATGTCCCATTTTTCTTTGGTATTATAAACCAATGATTGGAATATGATGCAAATGATAGTTCTAGGATCTTCATTTGTATCTTTTCACTCAAAAGCTCTATTAGCTTAGGTAGATGAGTCTTTTGTACTGGAATTAACCTTAGATCCCTAAGAACATGTGGCACCATAAATATAATCATTGATACTACAATACTTGGGTCTACACAATGAATTTCTAAAGGTTCAAAAGTAAAAGCCCTTCTATGTTTACTTAACATGTTTTTAACTCTTTCTCTTCAACATATAGAAGAAAATTTGTAGATCCTATTTTTAGTTTTTTGAGTGTAGTTTGTATAAACTTGTGACCAATATATTTAGGATTTCTTAAATTCTTCTCTTTTGAAGCTTGTTGAACTTGTTAATTGGAGTCACTAGGTAATGGTTTAACTACAAGCTTTATTTTTTTCTCCACAATCTTGTACCTAGTTTCTACTTTAACTTCATAATCTTGAAATGCACATATGATTGAATAGAATTTTCTTAAATATATTTGCAATACTTGATCTTCATCTCCTTGCTTAACTTTTATAAGTTCATTCAAAAAATCTTATAAACTTGTTTCCATATATATATACCTACTATCTTATCATCTTTATCAAATATACCGACTCTTTTTAGGTTTTTTTTAAAATTTTTCCACACCTATTTGCTCCTATTTTTATAAATCATTAAACTGTATATATCCAATAAATTCATTCTTAGATAATTTTATGATACTTATACAAAAGATATATTTTTTTATATGCAAGAGTACCTTCTTTGATGTACCACTATATTTTCAATTTATAGTGGTACTTTGCAAAAATCCTTAAATTCGTCATTGACCCTTGATAATGTACTATTCTGTAGATAATCTTGATTGCGCTCATGATTACTAGGCATAGTTAGGAATTATACTCCTCTCTTACCATTCAAGCTTTTGATATGGATACATGCTGATCCATCATCTAATATCTTAGTTTCTATTTTTACAGTTGTAATATATGGCTATTCAAGAATTATTAGATATGAAATAGTATCTTAAATAAAGAAATTTTGTTCAATAGTTATATCTCTAATTTTTACTTTTATATTAAGACAAGGACCATAGAGGTCTTCCTATGAACTATTTGCTGCCGAAATAATCCAACCATGTTCTATGCCAATGGGTCACCTTTCATATTTATAAATTTCATTTGATATAATATTAATTTCAAATCCATGATTAATAAGAGCAATTACTGGATCTATCATGTTTATAGAGGTGAACAATTACTAGACTATATTTGTAATATTATGGTTCTATAAATTTCTTACCTCTATATGCTTGCCAAAGATATCTTGCTTCTCTCTTGCTACTTCAATGCCATAGGTGATAGCTTCTCTCAATGCCATAGATTGCTGAGATAAATGATCATCCAAAACCTTCTTCATCCTTCATTTTTCAAAGTTAGTTTTAAGAAACTTACTTGTATCTCGTAAGATGATCTTTCCATCTTTCCATAAAATTACTCCTTGTTGCAAAATATTAGCAAAATCTCCACACTCCTTGCAAGGATGCTCCACATTATTATATCAAATACATCTTTGTATATGTCTTGGCTTTAATATAGATTTTCTTTGAAATTTTTCTTCCTTCTCTTTTAACTTTCCCAATTTGATTTGTAAGTCTTTCATTCCTTTCACCAATTCTTCAATTGCATCTTTTCATGGTACAACTATAGATATAAGAATTAGAGCAGTAGATATTGATAAGCAGTTTCTAGTAGTTGTCTGTGAGATATTGTGATTAGTAGAGGCCTAGTTTCTTGCCTTACCACTACCTTGCTTCTCCAATATTCTCTTTTAGCAAGTATTTCCATTACTTTAGACACCTTCTTTTAGTCAATTGTAACTCCATTATCTTCTATAATATCCTCTAGCAATAATTTCAATTCTCTTTATAATTCGTTGTTGGCTAATTGAATGAATAGTATGAGTCATCAGATTGACTCACTAGTTGTTTTAAGACAAAAGAATGCATGTAGAATGCCAAAATTATAATTATTAGGTAAAGATGTACTTAGAAGATGTTAAAGAAAGAAGAATAGTATTAGTCGAGAAGAAATGGAGTCTTAATAAGTCTTAGAGGCAATTATTTTAGTTGATTTAGTATTTTTACTTATTATTGAGGAGTAAGGATTAGTTACTAAAATCAATATTTATATTGATCTTATATATATATATGTATATATATATATATATATATATATATTATTTATAAAAAACTATAAATATTAGTTAATAGTTAAAAGAAGCATGAAAAAGAACCTCATATTTTTTGTAGTTATTTATATAGAAAGTAGAATTTATAGTAGATTTAAATTGATTCTATTACTATAAAAAATCAATAATATAGGAAATTATATCCTTAAATTGCTATTAGCATTATAGAAACATTATAGGAATTTTTAGAATTTATTTAGAAATTATTTAGAATTTTTAGTAGATTCAAATTGATTTTTATCACTATAAAAAATCATAAATATAGGGAATTATAACTTTAAATTGATATTAGAATTATAGAAATATTATAGGAATTTTTGGAATTTATTTAGAATTTATTTAGAATTTTCTATTAATTTTTAGGATAATTTTCAAGACCTTGGTAAAATTGAGTTTTACAACTTGGGAAGCCATTATGAAGAAATGAAGCAAGGTTTGAAGGCCACACAATGTTTCTAGGCTAATTGGGTGTTTTTGAACACCATGGTGAAGTCAAAAATGCAAAAATATTAATTCTACTAGTAGAAAATAGGACGACCAGCAGCTAGTATAGTCCTTGTAAGAAGGGAGGTGCACAAGTCCCATATGGGTTGTAGCACCTTGGATGTAGGTAGGAAGATAAGACTAAGGCCTCAAGGCCTCTTCAAAACACCCACATGCACTACATGTGAGCCTTGGTGAGGTTCGAACCCTTGACCTAGTAATAAGTTACCCTTGAGGTAAAATATTTTTCACTTAACTTTCCATTTATTACTTGTTATTTTCAATCCTTCACAACTTACTCATAGTAACTCGGATTTATATGTTTTTTATATCATTGAAAAAATAAAAAAATTATCTTTCTAAAAATTTAATTTTTACTTTTACTTTTTACTTTTTATTGAGTGAGAATCGAGTGAACAGACTGTGATTCGTTTTGTAGTGTACAATTGTTTGATTGCACTTGTTTCACTTGTTTAGTGTTATTCTTCTTTAGTTCTTGTTGTTTGTTACTTCCACTTCATACCACCCATTACAAGCAACTCTTAATTGAGGCCATTTTGTAATTTGGATTGAGGGGTGGAATTTTACACTCACATTTTGGTGCATTTGCCAGGAGATGGTGCTTCTAATGGTGTATGTGAATGTGAAGTTTGCTACTTGTGATTGATTTTGCTTGGTTTTGTTGAAGTGAGAACCTCAAATAGGTCTTCATCTTTGGTAAGTGTTCTACATCTCTTCCATATTGGTGTAAACAAAGCAATTCAAATTCTCACTTTATAGATAGTCAAGAATTTCATTTTTTTTAGTTGAATGTTGATTTGCTCTCGGATTTTCATCAATCAGTTTTTACTCATTGAATATTTTAAGTTGAAACTTTTTGGGATTGTGTGTTTCGATGTTAGCTTTCTAAAAAGCTACCTCATGTTGAAATTGGACTAAAATTTAGTTTCTTGTGGATTTTTGATTAGAAAGGGGTTCACTGCCTTGGCAATTTTGTGTACTCCAAAATTGCTCTCGGATTTTCATCAATCAGTTTTTACTGGCTTCATCTTTGAAGTTGAAACTTTTTGAGTTGTTTTTATCGTGATGTTAGCTTTCTATAAAGCTATCTTATATCAAAATTGAAGTTGATTTGAATTTTTAGCGAGTTTTTGATTAGAAGCCTTTTTAAACAACCTCTTTTTGGGGTAGTAATCTATCTACATCTTATAATCAACAAAAATCCACTAACATGGCTCTCACCATGTTGTTTAATATATTGTATATTAAATATATATACATATTATTTTTACATAGGTGCCAAACTTCAACATGACAATATATAAAAAAATTGCCTTATATGTTAAGACATATGTCTTACAAATTGCACACTTGTTAGAGATCTTATAGAATGTCATCACATAGTTCTTAGTTAGATAGTATATATGGAAGAAAGAGTGAAGTCTTTTTCATGCTTATCTTCTCTTTTCTTATTTCTAGTTTAGTTTCGAGAATCTCTAGATTTTTAGTCTTTAGCTATGCCATTCCAATTTCTTCTTGAATATATATACTTTGTTATTATCATTTTTTCATTTCTCTTTGATACTTGTCTTACTTGTTTACATATCTTCCTTGATTTTTTATCTTTGATAAATTAACAAGAATATATTCATAATATCAAAGCTTTATTTATTTTTGATTAAAAATATATTATTTTTTTTTCTTGATAAGACTTAAATATAAAAAAAATTATAGATTATCTTTTTTTAAATAGATATTATTTTTAATAATTTATTATTTTCAATTCATTTTTTCTATTCATCTTAAGTAATATTAGACATCTTTTTTTCTTCTAATATTATTATAACAAAGATTGTTGAAATGAAGAATTCAATGGCACAAATGCAAGAGTAATTGAGAGAGTTAATGGTGGTAATGCATCAACTTAATTTACTACTATAAGAAGCAATAAGATTGATAAGAACTAAAAATATAGAGATGATTGGAGTTGCTTCTACATTTATACTAAATCATACTTTTTTTTTCTATGGTGGAACACCATTCTAGTATTAAAAAACCATGAATTACCTTGCTTGAGAATTTTAATGGTATAAGATTAAAGTTTTGAAAATTTATCAATTGAATATAAATGGCGATTGAACTTCAATTCCAAAGCTATCCAATTCCAAGTTCACAAGTAAATTTATTGAAATACTACTTTCAAGTTCTATAGTATCATGGTTTTCATCTTTTTTTAAGTAATAAGATCCAATATTAAATAACTTAGAGACATTTTTGATAAAATTTTGATCCATGTGTAAAAAATATAATGCAATTTGTATTGTAATCAACAAGATTTGTATTTTGCAATAAGATAATCAATTTATAATATTATATACTTTATAATTTTAACAACTTGCAATTGATATCAAGTAGAATGATAGTGCATTTATTACATAATTTTTCTACAAATTATAATATGAAGTAAAAAAAATTGATGTTCAACTTATTTGATCTTCAAAAATTTAGCCAAATAATTGACTATATTGTGAAGTGTGACAATTAGCTTTTTGAATTTTAATCTAAGAGTCATATAAATGGACTTTAGTATTTTTACAATTCAATGGTAATACCAACAGCTTTTCAACACATATATTTGGAGATAAAACATATGCAAATTGACATGGTACATTTCAAATATCTTGTTGAGTAAAAAAAAACTTGTTAATAAGAAGGATTGCACTTATATTAGAGAATCTAAGAATATTATTCAAAATTATCCAAAAAAATGATACAACCATTAAATAAGAAATATGGCTATCAAAAAAGATAATAAATAAGAAAACAAGTTAGTCAAGCTATAATAGGAATAATGCAACTAGAACCTTATATAAAACCTACTGAAGGATATATTCTCTCTTCAAAATTATCTTCTTATTTTATAATAGATGTTAATTTAAGACCTAAACATTACAAAGTCTTTGCTTTACTAGATTTAGGAATCTTAGCTTGTTTTTTAAATAAAAATTTTGTTAAAAGATATAACATTTTTTTAATAAAAAAAACTATTTTTTTTCATGTAGAAGTCATAGATGGTTGTCTATTATTTTATGGAGATATTACTCATAAAATCTTTCTTATAGAAGTAACAATTAATAGTTGTAATAGCTTTATAATATTTAATATAATTATTTTTTTTAATCAAATAATTTTAGATTTATAATAGATAAAAAATTATAATCCTTGAGTAGATTGAAATTCTTGTAGTTATGACTTTATTAAGAGTATAATCAAGAATATTATTAATCAAATAAAAAGTCATAAGTCTAATGCAACCAAAATTGAATTTGTAGGTACAAGAATTTTTTTGTATATTATAAAAGAAGGATGACATTATATTATATATGCTACATCTATTTCTAATAGTAAAAAGATTTTAAATGACATTCCAAACTAATTTCAAGATTATCAAGATGCCTTTAAGAAGAAGAATGAAACTATTCTTTTGAAACATCATCTCTTTGATTGCTTAATTGACCTTGAAGAAAAAGCTCAATTGCCATTTAGATCAATCTATAATTTATTACAAGATGAATTAGCTAAATTTAAGGAGTTTATTGAAGAGAACCTGGCTAAAAATTTCATATTCTATTCAAAATCTCTAATGTGAGCTTTTATCTTCTTTATAAAAAGAAAAAAAAAGATAAATTATTAAAGACTCAATAAGATTACCATAAAAAATAAGTACTTTTTATCTTTAATATTTGGACTTCTTAATTAATTGAATTAAGTCAAGATCTATATAAAAATAGATCTATAGAGAGTATACAATCTAATTTGCATGAAATAAAGAGATGATTGGAAGATTGTATTTTGAACCAAGTATGGAAATTTTGAATACAATGTCATCTTTTTTGGAATTACAAATGTACTTATAACTTTTCAAAATCTAATGAATGATGTCTTTTGAAAAAATTTTAAATTTTTTATTATTTATTATCTAAATAACATCTTAATCTATTTTTAAAATATAGAAGAAATATGAACTTTGTGTTCGTCATGTGTTATAAAAATTAAAAGATGTATGATTCTATGCAAAGATAAAAAGTGTATATTTCATACTATTAAAGTTGAATTCTTATAATATAACATTTCAAATGATGGATTTATGATAGATCCTAAAAAAGTTCTAACTTTCATGGATTGAAAGATCTCAAAAATAATAAAAAAAAATTTAATATTTTTTTGGAATTTTCCAATTATTATTATATCTTCATTAAAAACTTCTTTTAACTTATAGCTATACTTATTCATTTGATTTGTAAAGACAAACTTAAATGGAATAAAGAATAGAAACAACATTTAAAATTTTGATGAGAGTTTCTATTTTTATATCAATTTTATATTGTATAAATTATTTTAAGCTATTATTTATAGAAACAAATGCATTGAACTTTGCTATAAATGTTGTATTATCACAAATTATCAAGGACATGAATCTCAAAAAAAGAGAACTTCAATACATTCTTGTGTCACTCAAAAAGATTAAAAAATCACTTGAAGGTGGTATAGTAATAAATTAGAATAGTTATTGCCAAAGATAAGAAGATTAGAAAGTCTTGAAACAAGACTAAAAACTAAAAAGGCATTGACAAGAGTGAAGAAGGCTTCATTCTTGCCTTCGTATATATACTTAACAAGGAGTTATGAGGTCGTGTCCTATTGGACCTCCAAAACGTGTTGGCTTTACAAGACACGTATCTTAACTTGCAAGGAAAGTTTTTTTTATATGTATGCCACATAGTTAACTTGTTTTGTAAGTTATTATTATATAATTAACTTTTTAATCAAGTTTTTAACCTACCAATCAATTACAAATACATGTAAAATCAAAAAAATATCTAGTAAGCTTTTAAGTAGCTTTTCTATAAAATATTATAAAATAAGTATATTTTTATGTAATTCTATTTAATTATATAAATAAATATTAAAATAAATATGTATGTCCGTGATATTATCTTTTCTTCTAAAGATAAGTTTTATAACGAGTAATCATTATATATTGAAAAAAACTAAGATACAATAAATTGTGTTTGTCACATATTTTGATCTTTGTTCTCTTTGAAGATGGCTAATACATATTCTTAGCTATCAATAGTGTCTTATACCAGGACATGAAGACCAATCTATTTTTCGATTATTGTTGAGACCTTTGTAATTTTCTTCAAATAAAATATTTGAAATACCATTATAAGTCATTCTAACTTCTAATAAAATCACCAAACATCAAGAGTCTCTTCAAAGGTTGTGATATCAAATACATTATATATTACCATTTATTCAAAGAAAGAGATGTCATTCTTGAAGATCTTCATCTTAATTATGTCATCTTGAAGATTGTGACAATTGTAATGTTTCATTTCATAAGTCTACAAGTAATAGCTCTTGAGTTGAAATTACTAGTTATTAGTTCTTTATCTTCTTAGTATTATAATTGCACAAAAAATCAAACAAGAGTACAAGGTACAATGCTATCTTCTATAGATCTTATTTCTTTTATATCAAAGATTTTTTATTCTTCATCTTAGTTTTGATGTACATTGTGAATGAAAAATTTCAATTTTTTTTGTTATTTTTATAAGATTCTTTGCTATCTTTTATATATGTTCACTAATATCATATCTATGCTAATAAATAAGATATTCTAATCTATTTTGGTACCATCTTGAATCTAAGACTTCTTCTACCTCAAATTTTTGATTACTATCGTCTTCTATAGAAGAAGATGGCATTTTTTTTTTTCTTTTTTTTCTAGAAATATTAATTGTCTTATATGGCTTAAGAAGAGACACGTGAAGAATAGGATGGATCTTTATATATTCCGATATATATAATTAATAAGCAACATAATTGACTTTTTCACAAATAATAAAAGATTCAAGCCTATGATAGTCTAACTAATGACAAGGATAAGCACTCTTGATATTACAATGGAGTAATTATACCTTGTCATCTATGTTGAATTATGGTTGTTCTTTGCAATAAGCATCTATATTAATCTTTTGTTATTTTTGGGCTTCCTTTAACTATACCTTCATTATTGCATATAATTTTGACAAATAATTTATGAAATCTTTTGCTGCAAGATTACTAACTTTTAAAAAGTTAAAAGTATGAAG